AGCCTGCAGCGGTCCAGATCCCCCTCGGTCATATTTCTGTTTTGAATTTCAGTTTTTTATTCTTATTTATTTGTTCAATTGCAGCAGTTCATTTGAACTTCTTTTTCATCTCTTTTCTCCTTTTGTTCATCAGACTCCCCCTGCTTTTGCTGCTTCGAACGAAGAAAAAGCCTCGGCCAGCCCTCTCTAAACCCTAAACCCTAAACCCTAAACCCTAAACCCTAGCTGCTGCACACCGTGTGTCTGTGGCTGCAGCGAGGCGAATGTTAGTTAGTTTCGCTCAAATGGGCAATTTAAATAAATAATTTGATTAAATGGATTTAATTAAATGTTTTGAATTGCAAAAAGTGGAAAAGAACTGAAAAATAAAGCAGCAGATCTCGTCTCGGACCAGGGGGCCCCCCGGGCTGATCTCGCGCAGCAAAGCCGGAGAAAAGGCCAAGTTGAATCTTTAGTGGAATTAAATGAAATAAAATTCAAAAAAAAGTTTAAAGAAATTAAAAAAAATCGAAAAAAGGGGGAAAATTCGCGAAATTCCGAAACGAAACTCCCGCGGCTGCCACGAGGTCACCTCGGCGAACCCCCGGGCCTCGCGAGCCCGTAAGTGAATTGTTTTGCAAACTAACTCTTCAAATAATTCCAATTTTAATTTTATTTTCAAATTTTAAATTAAAAATTCAAAACTTTTCAACAAATTGAAATTCAGCAGCGGCCGCGCCGTCGCAGCCGGACTTTGGGGGCCCCCGGGGGCCCCCAGGTGTATCTGCACCTTTCCTTTTTCCCTTTGTTTCATTTTTTGGAATTCTTTTAATCATTTAATTTAATTTGTTTTTTTTTCTTGTTTTAAACAGCAGCAGAAAGACTGAAAACAACCCCCAAAACCCCAAGATCTGCAAACCCTCGCTCCCTCCTCATACACCCAGCAGCAAATACAAGCACTTTGCTGCTTCTGCATGCGTTTATATAATTGCGTTTACTTACTATTTTCAAACTCTCCTTTTGCATGCATTTATACAACACATAAATACAAACATTTCTATGTAACTTCATCTGTATAAATATAAGTACACATATATGTACATAAGTACATATATATAGGCATATATATATGTATATATAAATATATATTAGTAGATATATGAAAATATAAGTGTATAAACATAGGTATATATGAATAAATATATATATATATAGACATATATATATAAACATATATATAAACATATTTATATATGTATCTATACATTGCATGCACGTGTAGAGGCTTCATACAGTAAGGATGCATAGCGAGGCCAAGCGCTGCTGCGGCTGCTGCTGCTCCGAGTTGCTGCCACTGCTGCCCCGAGTTGCTGCTGCTGCTACGCGTTGCTGCCGCTGCAGCAGCCATCAGGTCGTGTTGCTGCCTCGAGCTGCTGCAGCAGCAGCAGCAAGCACAGCAGCAACGCGTTTTAGCTGTTCCTTCAAAGGCAATGAGATGCTAGAGGGGCATCAGAACAAAAAACAATTATTTTAATTAATTGAGGAGATAAATTGCATTTAAAAAGAAATTGCATTTCTTTTTCAAAGCAAGTGCTGCTAAATTGCTGCAAGTAATTATCTCCTAAAATGGCTGGCCTCGAAAGCCGCAGTCGGAAGAAGATCAAAACGGCGCAGCTGCGGTGTCTGTACACCGCAGCGCAGCTGCGGTGTCTGTACACCTCAGCGCAGCTGCGGTGTCTGTACACCTCAGTGTCTGCACACCTCAGCGACGCTGCGGTGTCTGTACACCTCAGCACACCCCACTGCGCCTGCGGTGTCTGTACACCTGAGCGCACCCGCAGTGTCTGTACACCTCAGCGCACAGCGGTGTCTGTACACCTCAGCGCATCTGCGGTGTCTGTACACCCCACTGCACCTGCGGTGTCTGTACACCCCACTGCACTGCGGTGCCTGTACACCCCAGTGCCTTCGGGTACACCCCACTGTACTGCGGTGTATGTACACCCCACTGCAGCTGCTATACCTCTACACCCCATTGCCCTGAGGTGTCTGTACACCCCACTCTCTGGGGTGTCTGTCCACCCCAATCCCTGGGGCGTCTGTACACCCCAGTCCCTGAGGTGTCTGTACACCCCAATCCCTGGGGTGTCTGTACACCCCACTGCCTGAGGTGTCTGTGCAGCTGAGTGTGTGGGGTGTCTGTACACTCGCACTTTGGGGTGTCTGTACAGCTCAGTGGAGCTTGGAGGGCTTCGCGGCTGTCTCTTCAGTGAGGGCGTCTTGGGCGCCGACAATTCTCAAAATGGCTTTTTTGCTCGACTCCTGCAGTTCGCCCCCGCAGATCACTTCGTCCAGCAAGTAGTACGCCTGCATGCAAGTCAACTCGCAAGTGCATGCATGCATGCATGCATGCGTGCATGCGTGCATGCGTGCATGCAACTGAGTTTACACGTGCATGCATCCATGCATGCACGCATGAATGCACACTAACTTAAACATGCATGCGTCCGTGCATGGAATTGAATTTCAACGTGCGGGCGTGCATGCATGCAAAGGAATTTGAACACGCATGCATGCATGCAAATGAGTTTAAGGGTGCATGCAGTGAATGATGCATGCATTAATGGTGCATGCAAACAAAATTAAAGATGCATGCAAACAACCTTGAGGATGCATACAAATGAATATTGGTGTTGTATGCAGTTTAACATCAATGATGCATGCTAACAAACTTAATGCTGCATGCAGCAAAGTATCAGTGCTGCATGCGGGAAAATAAAATGCTGCATGCAGCAGAAGAAAAAAGCTGCACTAAGCCAGTCACAAGCATTAAACGCAGCAAAACAAAAAATAAAATCATTTCTGCTCATTTGTTTCAAATAAAAAGACGCGCAAAGTCTCAGGTGTACAGGCAGCTGGGGTGTACAGGCAGCTGCCTGGGGTGTACAGGCAGCTCCTTGGGGTGTACAGGCAGCTCTGAACGCGCGTTTTGAAGCGCTCACTTTGTGGAAGTTGAATATTAAATCTAATTCACAAACATTTCCGAAATATTTGTCCAAAACTTCGACATAATGATGCACAACTTCCAAAACTAAAAGGGCGTTTTCGTTCGCGTCCACGCAGGCGATGAAAAACAGACTGGCGTATCTGCAAAAGCCAAAACAAACAAATAAACCACCAAATAAACAACGAAAATAATCATTTTTAATCATTCTAATTAATTAAATAATAATGGGGGAGGTGTGGAGCCCGCTGTCTTCGGTGAATATGAATAGAAGCAAAAGGGGCAGGCAAGTTGCAGCCTAGAGATTCTAAATTCGTTTTTATTTCAACTAAATCCTAAAAACTAAATATTAAAAACTAAATACTAAAACTAAATATTAAAGACCAAATATTAAAAATTAAATGTTAAAAATTAAAAATTAAATATTAAGTACATATATATAGTGGTAATATACAGAAACAACAAAACATCCAGTCGACAAGTGCACAACCAACAGCAGCAAGTAAAAGCAAAGCAGCAGCACTGCAGCAGCAGCACTGCAGCAGCAGCACTGCAGCAGCAGCAGCACTGCAGCAGCAGCAGCAGCAGCGTACCGTTTGAAGACGAGTTTGGTGTCTTCTCGCCACTCGATGACGTTGCACTGCCTGGCGTTGCGCTGCAGCACTTTTGCTGCTGCGTCTCGGATGAGTTCATTTCGAGCTTTTGCGCTGCGAGCAGCAAAATGCAAAAAAGAAGAAATTTCTTTTTCTGCTTCGCAGTCTCCGAACCAGCGACAGAGGCGGACCTTGCCCTGTCTAGACACCAGAAGCAGGAAGTGGAACATCGCGGGCCCCGCAGCAGCCGCTGCTGCTGCTGCAGCGCCTCGCCGCAGCAGCAGCAGCCGCAGCAGCAGCGACCCGCAGCTACCGCAGCAGCTGCTGCAGCAGCACCAACGCCTGCGCGGCGGGCAGCAACCAGCAGCAGCAGCAGCAGCAGCTCCTTTGCGGGGCCCAGGAGCCCGAACTCAGCGAGATTCCCTTCCGTTCAAGTTGGGGCATGAACTGAGCGGAGCGCGGGGCCCCAACTGCGAAACAAACTCCAGATCCTCCTCTAAAACAAAAAAGAAAAGAAAAAATGGTCCAAAAGAACTTTTAAATCGGAGAAAATCCATAAATTCAACTTTTTGCAAGTCCAGACCGCGCCGGGTGTCGCGCGAGTTCGCGGCGGCGATCCGCTGCTAAGATGCGACGCAAATGCAGAAAAAAAGAAATATTCTGTTCAACTTCATCGAATATAACTTTATTTTAATAATATTTATTCTTTTGATCTGCAAAAGAATCCCAAACTCGCGCGATCTTGCGCGGCGGCGCATGCGGTCAGCGGCAGGTCCACATACACCTGAAATTGCAACGCTCCCCGTTCAGTTTCGACGCAAACTATCTTCAAATTCATTTTTATTTCAATTAAAAACTCCATTTCATAAATTTATCGACACTTTATTCTAAAAAAGAACGGCTTGCCGCGCAGACACAGCCCACCCGACCGCTGGCGCTCGCTGGCGCCGCAGCAACTTCTTCTTTTCTTGAATTATTTCCTTTCTTTTTTCTTTTTAATCAAACTTTAATCTTTTTTATTTTATTTATTTATCCGAGCTTCTCTTTGAGCCCTTTTAGCCCCCACAGCAGCTCCTTACTTGCCTCGCCAGAGCCCCCTTCCCTTCTCTCTGCTGCTGTATAGAGGCTCTGCCGTCCCTTTGCTGCTGCTGCTGCTGCTGTTGCTGTTGCTGCTGCTGCTGCTGACTCGTTAACTGCTGCAGCTGTTCAGTGGGGAGCTAGGTGCTCGTATGTGACATCAAATTGCATTTTAATTTAATGCAATTGTTACAAAAGCAGTTTCCAAATACTATAGACTTTAAATAATATATTTATAAATGCATTACCTAGAAGGCCACGGGAACAGCCATTTATAAATTTGTTTTATTTCATTAAAAAATTAAATTAAAAAATTAAATCTTCTACAAAATGCATGCAGCAGTAGCTCAGCAGTTGCCGCGGCTGCGGCTGTTGCGGGGCTTCAGAGGCTGCAGATCGGACAGCAACGGAGGAGCAGCAGCTGCTGTTGTTGCTGCTGCTGCTGCCGCTGCAGCAGCAGCAGCTGGTGGGGGCCCTGGGAGGGTTCCCATCGCCTCGTCTGAGGTGTACATACACTCCAACTCTGCGCCATCAGTGGGCCCCTCATCTGCTTCGTCGAGGTCGCTCAAGTGTCTGGACAGCTCTGCGAGCGGCAGCTGCTGCTGCTGCTGCAGCTCGTGCTGCTGCTGCAGCTGCTGCAGCTGCTGCAGCTCGTGGCTCGTTGCTGCGCTGCCCTCAGAAAGTTCTTCTTGAAGGCCTAAAGCTTCCGTCAGTGCAGCCAAGAGGGGGGCATTAAGGGGCTGGTTTTCAGGTGTACGTACACCTGGAATGGCAGCAAACTCCGCCGGCTCTTCTGCAGCAATGAGACTCAGAGATGCTTCTGGGAAGCAAAGTGAGCGCTCCGTGGAGTCCAAGAGAGCCAGCACGTCCTGACAGCCACACAGCAGCAGCAGCAGCAGCAGCAGCTTCGGCAGCAGCAGCAGCAGCAGCAGCAGCGGTAGCTTTCGCAGCGGCAGCGCAAAGTCGCTAGGTGCAACACAGCCAACTAGGATGGCTGCAGCAGCAACAGCACAAGAGAAACTACGACACAGCTACAGGGACGCCAGCAGCAGCAGCAACAACAACACTAGCAGCAACAGCAGCAACAGCAGCAACAGCAGCAGCAGCAACAGCAGCAGCAGCACTTTGTAGGTGAGTGCGAAGAGTTCGTCTTGAGGCATTGCCATCAGCTTCTCCCTCAGCCGAATGCGCCTCTGTCTTTGGACTCTAAAATAAAATAAAACAATAAATAAAAAAAGAAAAATAAATAATTTTGGGGGCGGAAGACACAGGCCAAAGAAAGTGTCAGGTGTATGTACACCTGAACCTGCACGGCCAGGGAGCCAGTGAAAGAAAATGAGCGAAAGAAAGAAATAATTAAAATAAATTAACATTGGATTGAATAAAACTTCTTTGGAAAATATAATTAAAATAAATATTTAATTAAACACAACAGAAGATCACTTTGCACCATTTTTTCTCCTTTTTTTCCGGAAATCAGCGTTTAAATTGATTTTAAACTAAATTAAAATGAATTCGTTTATTTTAAATTAATTTATTTTAATTATTTATTATTTTAATTTGTTTTACTTCACAGAACTGTGAAAAGAAAGCCTCGCGAGGTTCTGGTAAGCCGCCGAAGGCAGCGCGCAGAAAATGTCCTGCAGCTCCATCTGGGAGACGACGATCCCCTAAGGCAAAAAAAAGAAAACTAAAATAAATAATAAAACTAATTTATAAATAATATAATTAATTAATATAATATAATAAAATATATATATATGGGGCTACAGGACACTCTAATGGTGAAAAAACGAAAAAAAAAGAAAACAATTTCGTTTTGCCTTTGTGGACTGGGGTGTATGTACACCGTAATCAGGCATTTGTCTTTTCGAGAATTTGCGAATGAAGAAATGCAGAAAGATGCAAATAAAACAGATTTATAGTCTTAAATTATATTAATTTATAAGTATATAAAGATAAAAAATAAATAAAGATTTAAAGTCCACATTAGGAGCTTTTTATAGCGCGGCAGAAAGCAACAAGATGCAGCTTTCCGGTGTACAGACACCTCAAGCTTCACTTGAATTTTTGGTTCACCAGTGCAGCTTCAGTTCGTTGAAAGCGGCTTTGAAAAGGAAAAAATAATAAAATAAATTGAAAACAAATGAGTTCAAAATGGAAAATAAAAGCAAACAAAAAGAAATAATAAACAGAAGAGAGCATGCAAGAACAAGCGCCGTTTCCGGTGTACAGACAGCACCTCGTTCAGCCGCACAATCGCCGGGTGCATATTTGCTGCTTTCATTTCTTCCAAAACCAGAAAAGCCTGAAGATATTTATCAAAACAAAATGAATTAAAGAATTTAAATATAATTGTGAATTAAAATGTAATTAAAAGGCAATTAAATGAACATTCAACATCTAAAGTCACGCGTTGCACAGCAGCAGATCAGCCCCGCTGGCGCTGCTCCAGCCACCAGAATTCTAAACCCTAAACCCTAAACCCTCAGTTTTTCCTTCCGCGCCCGTTTCTTCATTGGCTGGTTGCAGCAAATAGACAAATTAAATAAAACAAATAAAACTGAACAAATGAAGCAAAAGAAACAAATAAATGGGGATTGGAGGAGTCCAAATAAAAATAAAGAAACAAAAAGAACAACTCGGTGACTCGCGCCGTTTCAGGTGTACATACAGCTGGCTGTTTGGGTGTATTTGTTGCAAATTGCTTACTTCGTTTTTTCTTTATTTCTTTTTGTTGTTTAATTCTATTTCCCTGCATTTAGTTTAAATTAACTAATTTTTATTTATTTTATTCATCTAACATCACCCTTCTAGTTTATATGTATATCAATTTAATTCAAGTTTCTCCTCATCAGCTTCCCCTTTCGTTCTTTTTACTCAATTAGCATTCTATTTACAATTAATTACATTTATATTTTTGAAACTAATTACATTTTAAATTAATTATATTTTTAATTAAATATTTTGAATTAAATTAGAATTCATTTTTCACCTTTTCGGGCTTCGCCCGGTGGTTCAAAATGTACGCATGCAGCTTTAGGGTGTACGTGACCTCGTCATAGTTCAGCCCGCAGCGCCTGCATGCAAAAATTCAAATTAATTGAACTGAAAGTCTCAAATTAATTAATTAAAATGCAAATTAAAACTTTTAATTCAAATTAAATGTCTTTTCAAAGTCAAAATGTTCATTCTGGAACTCCGAAAGCTGAGCTGTACGTACACCACCTGCCCATACACCCCAGCGCCGGCGAATTTGCAGTTGCGGAAAAACGCGAAAAGAGGCGAATTAAGCAAATCAATTGAATAAAATGAATAAAATAAATCAAATTAATGAAATTAAATCGATTAATTCAATTAATTTGATGCATTTTATTCATTTTTGAACATTTTAATCACCAGTAATTCGAAAACAAACGCTCAAACAGCGGCCACTGACGCCGCGTCAGGGCCCCCCACATCCTTTGCTGCATCCACCGCTGCGCCGCCACATGGCCCTTAATAATATCAGTCAAAGCGGGGCCCCCTTGGGGCCCCTTTGGGGGCCCCCCGGGGCTCCCCAGGGGTCCCCCCAGGGGGCCCCCCAGGGGTCCCCCCAGAAGGGCCCCCAGGGGCCCCCCAAGGGGGCCCCCCGGGGGCCAGCCGGGGGTGGGAGCCGCAGCAGCCACTGCAGCCGGAGAGGCTGGAACGCCTGCAAACGAAAACTGCTGCCACTGCTGCTGCTGCTGCTGCTGCTGCTGCTGCTGATGGGAAGCAGGCGGCGGCAGGGGAATGTGGGGAGGAGGAACTGCTGCTGCTGCTGCAGGGTCCGGGTGTCTGTGCATGCGCCTGTTGTGGGGCGGAGGGTACATGCGAAGCCCGCGGGGGGCCCCCCCCGAAAGGGGGCCCCCCGGGCCCCTTTTTGGGGCCCAAAAGGGCGCCAAACAGCGACAAGAAAGCATGTTATTTGTTCATTTAAAAGCAAACAAAAATGGACTTAAAAAATGAACAAAAATGAATTTAAATTCGCAGAAAATTCGAAGTTTTTTCCACTTTTTCGACTGTAACGACGCCCCAGAGTCCGAACTTTCAAAACTATTTTATTCCATTTGTTCAAATATTCAAAAACTTAATTAAATGCCATTTGATTTAATTCATTTAATCCAAAAAATTTATTTTTCTTCAACTTCCAGACCCTCAAGGCCTTCGGGGGCCCCTGGGGGCCCCCACGAGGCCCCCGGGGGTCACGGGGGGGCCCCTGGGGGCCTCCGGGGGCCCCTTGGGGGCCCCCAGGGGCCCCTGGGGGCCCCGCTGGTTGTTTTGCTTCTAATTTGTTATTTATTTTATTTAATTTGTGAATTAAAAGGAAAGTTATTATTTGAATATGCATTTTAATTCAAATAGTATATTTTGTCGAAGCAAATCAGCGGATTTGGCAATTTTTGGTTTGCTGCGGAGCCCCATGAGCTGTCTGTACACCCCAAGCAGCAGCAGGGGCCTCACAGCCGCCCTGGAGTTTCTGCTGCTGCACGAAGCAGCAGCAGAAGAGGCAGCAGCAACTAAGGGGCCCCCCGGGGGGGCCCCCAGGGGCCCCCCGGGGCCCCCCAGAAGGGGGCCCAGGGGGCCCCACAGGAGGGGCCCCAGGGGGCCCCCCTCTGCGCTGTACGTACACCCCAACGGGAGGGATGGCCCCACCGCGTCTGCTGCAGCAGCAGGAGAAGCTGAAGCTCCAGTTGCTGCAGCAGCAGGGGAAGCTGAAGCTCCAGTTGCTGCAGCAGCAGCTGAAGAAGCAGCAGCAGCAGCAGCAGTAGCAGCAACAGGGCTAGAAGCGCCGGAATCAGCAGCAGCAGCAGCAGCGAGCCCACCAGAAGCAGCAGCAGCAGCAACAACTGCCGCAGCAGCAGCAGCAGCAGCGCCAGCCCGTCTCGTTTCTTTTGTCAGCTTCTCTTTGGATTTATCAGCAGCAACTCCAAAGGCCCTCCAAGAAGGCCAAGATGCAGCAGCAACTCTAAAAGAGGTTTGGGGGGCCTCCGACTTAGGGGGGCCCCCCCAGCCCTTGGGGGCCTCCCAGGGGCCCCCAGCAGCAGCTAGCGGAGCTGGGGAGGGCCCCCTGCAGCAGCAGCAGCAGCAGCAGCCCGGGGGCCCCCGCCAAGTGGAGGGGCCCCCCAACCCCGGGGGGCCGCCCAAGCTTGGGGGGCCCCCCGGGGGCCCCCAGCCCGAGGGGGCCCCCCACCCTGGGGGGCCCCCCTTTGATGAGTTTAAGGGGCTGCTGCTGCAGGAGCTGCAAAGCATAGGGTTTGTGTCTGCAGCGCAGCAGCAGCTGCTGTGGGGGGCCCCCTTTTGCTGCTGGGGTTTGCTGCTGCCCTCAGTGACAAAAAGATATTGTAAAATAAAGTTTTTATTAAATGCAAATAACAAGTGCAACGCGGACTTCGCGGTGTACGTACACCAGAACGGGTGAGAAGGGTTTAGGGTTTAGGGTTAGGGTTTAGGGTTTAGAAGGGCAACTCGAGACTTACTGATTAGTGAATTTATTCTCATTTATTATTTCGTTGCCCTTGAGTATTTTCTTTTGTCTGTTATTTCTTCTTTGAGCCTCTTGAGAGACAAAGATAAATGGCCTTTTAGCAGCAGCAGCAGCAACAGCTGCAGCAGCAGCAGCAGCAGCAGCAGCAGCAGGAGCGCGAGTAGCTGTCCCGTTTTTTTCCGCTTTCTTCTGGAACTAATGATTTATGTTCGAATTGACTTTAAACAATTCCATCATTATTTTTTTTTTAATTAAAATAATATATTAATTAGATTTAAATAATATTATTTAGTTAATTTATTTAATATTTGAACTAAATATTTATTTGCTTCTCTGCAGGCTCATGGTTGTTGCCTTAGCCCAGTCCCACTTCTTGCTGGCAGCCTCTCGAGCTTCTTCGGAAAAAGAAAAAAGCAAAAAAGAAATTAAAAATATTTTAAATCAAAATGAAGATGCAAACTCAAATGTAGCTGCTGCTGCAGCGCCAGACGCAGCAGCAGCAGCAGCAGCAGCAGCAGAAGCAGGACAAGCAGCAGTAACAGCAGCGGAGGCGGGGCGACCGACAGAAGCAGCAGCAGCAGCAGAAGCAGCAGCGGGAACAGCAGCAGCAGCAGCAGCAGCAGAAGCAGAAGCAGCGGCAGGAAAAACAGCAGCAGCAGCAGCAGCAGCAGCAGCAGCAGCAGCAGCGGAGAGCCCCAATAACCCCTTGCTGGACTCCTCATCTCTTGGAGAAAAAGACGATAGGGAAGAAAAAAGAAATTCCGAAAAAAAAGAAAAAAAGATTTTTAAAATTAATTTCAAAACTGAAGTCCTCAACTCCGCAGCTTCCGGAAAAAGAAAAAGAGGGGCCCTCCAGCTGCACCCGCGCATGCGCTTAGGCACCATCACCCTGCAGCAGCAGCAGCAGCAGCAGCAACAGAAGCAGCAGCAGCAGCAGCAGCAGCAGCAAAGTTGCTGCGCTGCGCACAATGGGGGCCCCCCGGGGGGCCCCCTGGAGGTACAAGCGGATATATTTGGGTGTGTAGCAGGTGGGTCATTAAGAAAGTGTAATTTAAAATAAAATAAAAATAATAAAATAGAATTTATTAAATAAAAATAACAAAATAGAAATAGTAAATAAATTAGATTTGATGAATTAATTAAAAGAACACAGAGGCGGGGGAGAGGAATTTGCCACTTAGCGCAGCAGCAGCTGCTGCGCGAAGAAGCTGCAGCAGAAGCAGCAGCAGCAGCATAAGCAGCAGCAGCAGCAGCATAAGCAGCAGCAGTAGTAGCAGCACCAGCAGAAGCAACAGCAGCAGCTGCAGAAGCAACAGCAGCAGAACCGGCAGAAGCAGCAGCAGCAGCAGCAGCAGCAAAATATCTATGTAATTTAATTCTTTTATTTTTTCGCCCTTTGAAAAAGGAGATTTGAGGCTGCTGCTGCTGCTGCTGCGCCAGGGGAGCTGCTGGAGACGAACGAGCTGCTGCTGAAGAACCCCGAGTTGCTGCTGCAGCCGGTGAGATAAAAAACGAAAAAGGAAAATAAAAAGAAAATAAAGAGAAAACAAAAAGAAAATAAAATTTAGAAAAAGAGGAACAAATAGGGTCTGAGAAAAAGAAAAGAAAGATAAAGAATTAATTTGCTCAAATTAGAGATAAATAAATTAATAAATTTCTTCTTTTAAACTAAAAAGAGGCATAAGAGTGTAATGAATAAATGGAAAGATGCATTTATGTAAAGTATTATAAACATATTTGTTTAGCTTTTACATAAATATTTATTTATTGTTTATGGAAAGCATTTTAAATATATTTGTTTGCTTTTCAAAAAGAAAACTCAAAGGAGGTCTGGGGTGTACGTACACCCCGCTGCTGCTGGGTGTACGTACACCCGGCTGCGCAGCCGCCTCGTCCGCGACTAAAAAACAAATAAATATTTAAAACAATTAAATGCAATTTATTGTTTTATTATTTTATTTAATTTAATGCAATTTGTTGTTTTATTTTATTTTATTTCTTCTCTGCATTTAAAACCCTTTGCAGCAACTCAGTGCCACTTGCTGCTGCAGCAAAACGAGCCAAACCAACCACCAAATATAATACTTTTTACAATTAAATGTATCTATTTATTTATTTATTTATTTTTATTTTTTATTTTTATTTTTATTTCTTTTTTTGCAGCCAGAAAGAGGCGGATGGCTTTTCATTGCGAAGCCGGCGAAGCGTCAGCGTCAGGCGAGCTGTCTATACACCCCAGCGCAGACGCCGCGCAGCAGAAAAGCGAGTTAAATAAATGCAAAAACATTTTATTTAAGTTTATTATTTTAATATTATAATAAATAAACATTTGTGTTGCATTTAAGTGCATTTTGCTTTTTGATCCGCAGGCAGAAAATTTGTTAATAGAAGAAGAGGCTCTCAAAGTGCGCCCCGGCATAAGCGCCCCCAATGGCCTAAACCCTAAACCCTAAACCCTAAACCCTAGGCCCTCAGGCGAGCTAGGCTCTTTCCCGCGTTGCTGCTGCAGCTGCTGCTGTTGCAGCAGCTACTGCGGCAGCAGATCGCGCCTTGTCGCTGCAGTTGCCTCCCTCCCAGCTGTTGCTTACGCGCATCAAGCAGCAGCAGCAGCAGCAGCAGCAGCAGCAGCAGCAGCCGCTGCTGCTGCTTCTGCTGCAGCTGCAGCAGCAGCAGCTGCTGCTGCTGCTATGGGGGCAAGACGCCCACTAGAATTGCTTTGCTGCGGGCTCTTTTGGCCTTGACGATAAGCCTCAGTTTGTCTCCTACTTTTGCTGCGAGCAGCAAATTAAAACATTTCATTATTATTATTATTATTATTATTATTATTATTATTATTATTATTATTACTATTATTCATTATTATTATTATTTATTGCCATCAATGCCATTTTGAATTAATTCATTTTAACTGCATTTTTCATTTTCGCGGCGCAGGCAGCTGCAGCAGCCGGTGCTGCAGATCCGCCCGCTAGGGTTTAGGGTTTAGGGTTTAGGGTTCGCTGACGCGTCCTGTTGAGGCAAGCAGCAGCCTCTGCTGCATCAGCAACAGCAACAACTTGGGGATCTCCCGCGTTTATTTTAATTATTAATTTTGAGCTGCATGCAGCAGCAACAAGTCCTTCAATTTCGCTTCCGGGACAAGTGGCAACTGGCTGGCCCTCCTGCTGCTGCTGCTGCTGCTGCTGCTGCTGCTGGGGGCTTCTTTGGCGGTTAATGAGGCAGTAGTCGACGTGTCTGCTGCTCCAGTGGGCGCATTCCACCTGCTGCTCCTTTGCTGCAGCAGCGCAGCAACAGCAGCAGCAGCAGCAGCAGCGGGAGCTGGGGTGTATGTACAGCTGGGAGCGCCGCAGGCTGCCCGCGGCATTCACTTGTCTTTTCACTCCAATTAAAGTGCATGCAATTGCAACAAAGTAGCAGCTGCTGCTGCTATTGCTGCTGCTGCTGCTGCTGCAGCAGACAGGAATGCTTACTCATAGAAAAACGCAGACAGCGGCTGGCCGCGGGCAAGTGCAGCACGTCAAAGACAGCATATTTTAGCAGCATCTGCATGCATGCAGCCCCAGAAAAACGCATGCAGCGCGCTGCTCCTGCTGCCCCGCTGCAGCGGCTGCTGCTGCCGCTTCTGCCGCCGCTGCTGCCGCCAC